TTCTCTCCCCGTTTCTACAAAACAAAAGTATTCGTATTATTTCAATATATTTGTAGAGGGACAAATCAGATGATTTGCCCCAAAATGTCACTGCGTTTAACAAATTTTTCTATCAGGGAGTCTAAAAGAAAAATCCAGTAGCTTGTCAGTGACAATTTGTTTGAAAAAATTTTTGAAGGAAAGAAATATAGATATATTGAAAAAATATCGAATTTGTACTTATCTTTGGACGTTTCGGGACCGATTCTGCTCCCGTTCTCAACATGTAAATGCAAATTATTTTTCTTTGAAAGTTGTGCTGCGTATAGTTTGACACTTTTCAATGTCATACTGATGTTGGCATATGAATGAGTGATTTTAGTCTACAAATGAGTTACAGGATGTTTTCATTAATTGATCTTGAATCTACCATTTTCATGTTCAGTTTTCAGTAGTGAATACCATGTTCTATCAATATCAACTGAACAGGAAGCAATGCTATTGTAGAAACGGGGAGAGAAAATCCCAAAGAACCAAGTGAAATGAATGTACCACCTCCTCGATTAACCTACAGACAGTATTTGAGTAAGCTAAATCCAGAACATTACTCAATCCTCTTCGAAAATAGTCAATCAACCTTTGAAAGGTTGCCGGAGCATTTCGTAAGCCAAAAGGTATGCAGAGATAACAAAAAGTTCCAAACGGAGTTGTGAATGCTGTTTTATCTCGATCACATTCAGCAACCCTTATTTGATGATAACCGGAGCGAAGGTCAATGGTTGACATAAATGGTGTATGTTTCGCAGCATGGAGTAGGACTAGAGTCTAGCCATAGCACCAGTGCGAGAATATTGCGCCTGGTGCGCAGGTCGCTGGGCGCGAGAAATTGCAGCGAAACAAAAATAAATAAATCATTGTGAAATGATATTGCGCGTCGCTCGCTGCTCGCTGGGCGCGAGAAATTGCAGTGAAACAAAAACAAATAAGTCATTGTTGTGAAATGATACATTAGACAACTGCTTTCCTAGTTGATACCATGTTACAGGGTGATCCCTAAAATCGTGACACACCTCAAATCAGTTTATTCAAATTGAATTACACTGTACTGTTCATAATTATTACATATATATATCCCCAGATAGCACGAATATTCTCAGAATATTCTTACAAGCTGCGAAAATGTCATCTTCTAGAATAATATTCTGAAGAATATGCATAGAAAGTTCTCAGTATGTTGCGAATATTTATGGAATGTTCCATGCGAATATTCTGATAGTATTACATGAAAGTACATTCCTAGAAGCTCCTGGGATATAATATTCCAGAATGTTCATTAAATAATATTTTCAGAATATTGTGAACATTCATGGAATACTTTGCGAATATACTAATGATATTCTGAAAATATGTTCCAATGAGCTTCTGAAATGGAATATTCTAGAATGACAATGTTCAAATATACTTATTTCAGAATATTCTAACATAATGTCCTTAAAATGATCATAAAATATTTTCATCCTGCAACGAATATTCTATGAACATTTAATTTGACATAGATACACAAGAATATTCTTTTCGAATATTCTGAGAATATATAGAATCGTATCAAATTATGAAATTGATGTTATTATTCATGTATTGATATACAAAGTGTTCCCCTTACCAAACCCATTATTATAATGGTTGTATGCCACTAAGTGTTGAGATCGATTGCATTTTTAAAGTGTGAAACGCTAGACTTGGAGGTCAAACGATAAATGAGTACATATTCTGGAAACAGTTCGAATGGCAACCAACAAATCTCCTTCCCGTGATACATGATTCGCCGCCAATTAAGGGTATTGGGATTGGGTATTCTTTTACCAATGATGATCTTTATTGTTTCGCTCCAATATTTGTCCCGCGCCGCACGGCCGCAACCCTTCTCACCTCGCTTCTCGCGCTCGGCGAGCGAGCGAGCAAGCAACGAAATTTTCTGTTTCTCGCGCCCAGCGACCTGCGCACCAGGCGCAATATTCTCGCACTGGTGCTATGGCTAGACTCTAGTTGGAGTAGGTCGTCCATACGAGGAAGAGGGTAGGAGTCAGATACTGTGATCGCATTGAGCCTCTGATAATCAATGCACAAGCGAATTCCTCCCCCTTTCTTAGGCACAAGTACTACCGGAGCTGCCCAAGGACTTTCAGCTTCTTCGATGATGTTGTCTTTAAGCAACTTATCAAGCTCAGCTTTGAGTTGTTCTTTGCGAGCCGGCGACATTTGATATGGTGGTAAGGATATTGGCGTATGAGTTCCTGTGTTTATCAAATGCTCTGCATATGGAGTTGGCTCTCCTGCTAGCTCGAATATATCACTATTTCCCCCCCAGCAATTCAATAAACGAATTCGTTGTTCATCATTGAGCTGATGTCCCTCTTCAGAACGTAAGGTTTCGAAACTGGTGATATGCAAATCTTGAACGAGGTTCTCAGATTCAAACTCCAAATCATAGAGAAAATCGTCATCCGTAAAGTTCCAGACACGATCGGCAATATCCAGATTTATTCTTGCATCACTTATGAAATCAACACCTAATAATGTACAATTATTATACGCCTCAGGAATTATGATGAAGGTTGTTGGAACTGCACGATCTCTGATGAACACATTTACTTGTGTGAGTAAAACTTTTTCGGTTTCTGAGGTACCATCTGCAAGTTTCATCACGACCGTTTTGCTTGTGAAAACTTGATTTCTGTTTTTGAAAATTTTAGAGAGTTGAACCTGCAATACTCTGTTTAGCCGCAGTGTCATGGATTCCAACACCATTATGTCCCAATATGTTATTTCTACATGTAGGACAGTTCGAGCGGACGAATCCGGGACGTTTACAACTATAACAAACAAGACCAGCAGAATTCGATGAATTCGAGGTTACAGTTTGGTTTGCACTGCTCGTAGAAGGCGAATTTTCCTTGTTTTTTTGTATGTTATTGTTGTTTACTGGCTTATTTTCGACACTCGTCTTTTGTATGGCCGAGATTTCTACAAAAGATACAACGTGGCGGTTTAGTTTCATTTTTCTGATCACTTTTTTTATCAGAAGAACCAAATGAATCATCAAGCCAGCTCACTAAAACTGGTTATTTGATCGCGTGACACTTTTTCGCGAATCTTCTTGTGCAACAAGCCGTAGACCATATCTATCTGAGTTATTTCCGTGAGAGACCCAGTTGGAAGTTGCGCGAGAATCGATCGACACTTGCATATGAAAATATCAGTTTTTACTTTTGAGTCTTGTTCTTCGGCAAATAATTCGCGATACACTTTATGTGGCGGTTTTTTAGGACCGAAAGTAGTTCTTAACAGATCTACAGCATCTTTTCATGTTGAAATCGTTGACTTCACACCCTGAAACCACGTCGCGGCGAAACCATCTAAAAGCATCGGCAATCCTTTGAGCGCATTGTCCTCCGACACTTGAGTACAGTCAATGAAAATGACCACAGCATCGAGAAATGCATTAACGTCACTGTCTTTCGAGCCCTCAAAACGCGACGAACATTTCGAGAGATTTCCAGACGACGGCACTGGTACGGGGTTGGCTACCGATATCCTGCTCAATAACTGTTGAAATTGTTCATCTGTCAGCGTATCGGACATATTGGTAGAACACGATTGCGATTTGAACAAAACCGACGGCAAATCAATTTCAATCACGCGAACGCAACGATCGAATGTCCTTTGGGTGATCCACGGTGTCAACAAGGCATTAAGGTAGGTATAAGTACTTACAGTTTTTCAGCCTATGGATTCTTAACAAACATTACCCAATTGGAGTCATCCAATTTGTGAAATTGCACTAATCACAACACACGGTATTGTTTTTCACTGTACTCTGTACTGTACTGTACTGTAGACCACCATTTCATTAGAATGAACATTCCTGATCATCTAACTGGCAGAATTGTGATGTACAAAATCTGAAGATGGCAGAATGCGAGAAGTTCATACCCGTGGAAAGACAGACTGTCGATATTTCATAACCGTAAAATGAAAGATTCGTATAATGACAGACTCGTAAAAGCACAGACTGTAAATACTCTGGATCCGTAAAACGTAAGACCCGTACATCGACAGACTCATAATCCAGCGGACTTGCGAAATTTATGATCCATAATTCATCAAAACCGTAAAACTACAGACCCGTGAAATAGCAGAATCGTAAAATGACAGACTCGTACAATGGCAGAATCGTGCATCTACCGGATCCGTAGATTTTCAGAATTTTTCGAAATAGCAGAACCGTAAAATGGCAGAATCTCACATTGACAGACCAGTTGAAATTCAGAACCGTACATCGACAGACCGTCAATATACCAGAATGTGTGGGACGCGTGGAGATTCGGAACAAGCGGTAGCGCATTGTTGCCAATTTGAATCGATAGAAATTCCTTACTATAATCAAATCTGATTCAAATTGTGTTATGGAGAAATCTAGAGGGCTAAAAAATGTTCGTACATTGTAGTATTTGTGATTGATGATTTGTTTGATCCGAATCAGGACGATATCGACAATATAACTTGAGTGTATCTAGATAAAGAAGTATATATCATTCTTTTCGTCAAAAAATCATATAACAAAACATATCAGACATGTGAATTCAACGATGTTTCCTATGTATGATAGGTAATTCTATTCTCGGAGATCCTATTAGACAGAAATGGAATCATTGTACGTCCATTTCTGAACATATAAATATTGGAGAAGAACATCAAACTCTATTGTCCAATGGTCTAGCTTCAGCGTCGGGACCTCCATTGTTGGGATGTGATTTTTTTAATCTTTTCGATTTGAGTATATCGAATCTCAGTTACATGGAGGTACCGGAGGACCTTCAGGGTACAATCGATCAAATCAAAGAGATTTTCTTACCCGGGTTGGGTACTTTCACCAAAGAGAATAGAAAAAATTTGTTGTTGATAATTAGTACATGCTTCTACTGATACTGGAATAACTGATTAATGAATTACGTTTATTGTCAGTACATATACGAGCTCACAACATCTCTCTCTCTCTCTCTCTCTCTCTCTCTCTCTCTCTCTCTCTCTCTCTCTCTCTCTCTCTCTCTCTCTCTCTCTCTCTCTCTCTCTTTCTCTCTCTCTCTCTCTCTCTCTCTCTCTCTCTCTCTCTCTCTCTCTCTCTCTCTCTCTCTCTCTCTCTCTCTCTCTCTCTCTTTCAATTTGAAAATTTGAAGGCATTCGATCTTGAATAAAAAAAAAAAATTCCTACGGCGCTCTCCTTATTCATTATATCACTCAATACTGCATGTCACCTTTTTTTATCGGGATCAAAAGTACTACAATTTTGATTTCATCCAATTTCTCGAATTCCTTATTCAAGTCTGTTGAATAAACGAGTGACACATTGATTTAAAGAATGTTCGAAAAAGAAAGGATAGCATATTGTAACATTCGCAAATGCTCAGAGCATCCAGTGCCCTCTAACGTACACTACTTTCAACTTTGGAACACACCTACACTCATATAAAGCAGGAATCGATACATTTGGTAGTGCAGACTAGTACTTAGTATTATAGCTAGACCTAACTCTTAGTTTCGCTATTCGCTCAGTGATGGCGCTAGTCGAACTCAGAGAAAAAATCAAGGAATTAGACAAAAATCATCTTTTCAATTGTTTATTAAACTTCAAGAATACAAATAATAATTATATAATTTACCTGAACATGTTTTGCAACAAATGTAGTGTGAATTTGAGAAAGCATCATCATAGTCTCAATTACAGGTTAGGAAATGAAATTCTCAATTTTCTTCCAAATTAGTATGTTTGAGGTGAATCCTTTGGTCGATCTGTCAATTTCCATCTATTCCTGATTGGAGATTTCAAACTGTCAGACTGGTCTGTTATAAAGTACCTAAAATAAACAATTAGAAAATATCAATATTCAGCTGTTGTACTTACCAAATTCAGTGGGATAAAATCAGTATTTTTCTGTGTCCAGTTTCTGTTGTTAGTATCACCTGTATTCCAGGATTCAGAAAGCATCTCCCGTTTCGTTTTTCACCAGCACTAGTTGTTATTTTCCGGAGTCTTTCCAAATCCTAGGAAAATGAGTGGAAAGAATCTGATTCATAGATGGCACGACCATCGCGTTGACAGCGATGTCTGTAAACAGCTTCCTCACAGGTTTCTGGGTGAAGGGGGAAAGCTTCGATTGATTTCGATGGAGTTCGATTGGCTTCTATAGGCTTCCAGGAGCTTGTGGTGAAACTACACAAGGCTTCGAACCGATATTTTCGGGATTAGTGCCTGTTTTTCCCATGAACAGTTTCTCCTGATTTGTGGACTTGTCTCCAGCCATTATACGAGGTGATCATAAACCGAGTGTGAAACTTCCAGTGCTCCAGGCATCCAGAAACTTCAAACACGTGCCGGCTTTTTTTTTGTGAATCGTAAGTCTGTTCTTTTTCACTCAAATTTCCATAAAATCTCTTCATGAATTTCTTTTCCATTATTTACAGTTGGTGAACTCAAATTTCATAATTTCACATCATATGGGGAACAATATGATGTTTTCCTGTCCATTTTTGTATGAAACCCTCTGTAAGGGGTAAGTAGACATTCTCTGCATGAATGTCAGAGAAATAACATTTTTGTTATTTAGGGTTTTAGGTGGGACTACGTCCAAGCTATTTTTAACCATTAGCCAGTGTCCTGGTTACTTACAGATGTAGTTTCTTTTTGCTGGGAAACTATAAGGGCAGTAGTATCAACCCCTAGCTGTTGCCAGTATTTCCATCCCGGGTGGTAGTAATGCCCTACGGCTTCTCAATGAGAAGATAACTCATGGAAGGGTCCTGTTAATTTTGTACCCACGGTAGAAGTTATTTTTCTTTCTTGCTGAACTGAGCTTGTGGAGCTGTCTGGACTGATGAATTCCGGAATGGGAATGGATCACCAATAACAAGGCCAGATATAACCTTTTTAATGATATTTTGTTGTCATTTTCTTTTACATAGCTTAGCTTTCACATTTGCCTCACCTGGAACCATATTATTAACTTTAACTCCTAGACTGTAAAATGTGAATTTACTCTCAAAGCTGTACAGCCTTCGCTCAGTACTGTGCGAATGCCATGATCATCATCTTCAACTTTATTGTGAGAATAATATTTCATACACAACATTACTTATGATTGTTGACAGTATTCTTTAACTTATCAATTATGATTTACTCAGGTGGGTTACCATGGTGAGAAGGTAGTATAAATGTGTGAATATCACCACATATTATTCAGCTAAATTTCAGTGTTTCATATACAGGGTGATCTTGTCGGTTCAACAAGGCTTCAGGTCAGATACTTGTTAATTGATTGTTTTTTTTGTAAATATATGTAAATATCTGGGTGAATATAATTTCTATACATTCCCCCTCTTCCTGAGTTGGTTAACATTGGTTTGACATATGAAAATTTCAATATATATAATTTTTTTTTGTATTGTAAAGAACTTTTCAAATTTTAACAGATCTTGTTTTCTTGACTTGGACAAGGTCAAATATCCTAAGTACTTCAAGTCAAGTGGCGCCTGGGTAAGTTTTCCTCTCCTTTTTTTCGGAAACTTATGAATTTAAATAAATTACATGATGAATTGTTAACCCCGACCTCCATGCTCTCTAGACAACAACGCTAACGGTGCAGTGACTTTTCAATTTTCAATAGAAAGTTGAAAACGTTACAATATAAATGTTGAATTTTCACATTGACGTTTCCGGAGCGAATTTGCTGAAATGCTTGTCTTCAGATTGTGAATGTGTGGATGCGAAGTTTCGCCTGGAAACGTTCCACCCCGCGTAACAATCAACGAATTACGGTTGCCTAAGAGGTCCAAATCCTCAGAACTCAGATACTGGTTGTTAGGTATACAAAGGAGTGATTCGCTATATCAGTGAAAATCATTGTGTGGTCCATCATACATTTATTCTGGTCCTGAATATCATTTTTTCTGATTTCATAGATATATTTTCCTCTTGCAGATATTATTTACTCGAATAAAATGTTCTTGGAGTTGAAAATCTCTAACTCTTTCTTGGTCAACGGACGTCTACTAATGTTTTTTCTGAAAGAACGGGAATTACAAACCTTTTGGTACCTATCTATACCACAATGAAAACCGAGTGGTACATATTTGTACAATATTGAAATTATTTCTATGTAATCAACTATTACATACCTTCTAAACCACACGTTTTCGCAAAGTTCATATGACAGAACAATCACAAATATTTTTCAAAGAATCATTAAAATTTCACGAAATATACACAGTCCCATGAGACATGTTTCTTTTTAAGAATGATAATAATTATCGAATTCAATTTTGCGAACATTCACGCGTCTTGTCGATGCGTAAGCTCTTAAATATCGGATTGGTGTATTTTCTGCTTGCTTGAAACGAATAAAGTGACTCAGAATTTCTGTAGAGTCTGTGGTATATATTATGTGTACCGTTCGCACATTTACAATCCCTCCTATGTGACACCGATTGCTCGTCGCTACCAGATAGGAATTGTAGTGCAGCAGAATGCACTCCAATCCCTCATCGGCCAAAGCGATCACTTGCGTGCCAGCTGGGTAGGTACATATTCGTACAGTGCAAAAATAGTCATTTCGAAAAAGGGGGTTCACCAAACACAAATTAACTCACTGCTTTTAATTTGTAACAAAACTAAAACTTTTACTTATACATTATTGTACAAACACAAATTAACTTATAGCCTTTAGTTTGTAACAGAAATAAAAATTCTACTTATATATTTCAAAAACAAGTCCGTTAAAAAAATCAATGATGGCTTGAGTTGGGCTGATTTTTAAGAACATTCATCATGAAAGACCTTTTTCTTTTCGGCCTTTTCTTGTTAATTCCCTCCAACAACGATGGCCTGCCTGCTTGGATTGCTCTAACGCCAGCTTTTAAAGCTTTATCAGTTCGACGAGCAATTGACGTAGGTTGCACTTTAATTCGTGTTGACGTGTTCCGTGACTTGAAAGAAGACTTATACATATTCAAAAACTTTTCTGTATTATCAACGTTAATCATCACGGTATTAATTTGGGACAGTTTCGTCAACATAAATTTTGAACTGTTTTTTTCGGCAACAGCAAATGTTCTTTCTAAGTTTGCCTTGAATTTCTGCAGTTCTAATTGATATTCTTCAAGATATTCGCTATCTTCATTTTCTGAAGGTTGGATGATTTGTGGGTCACTACTATTTTCATCTTCATTTTTCATTGGCTCATTAAACTTTTGCGACAAGATACTATTTCCTACGGTGGATGATAGTGTAATATCAATATTTTTATCCATACCCGCAAAAAAAGTATTGTCAATAACGCTCCCTAGAGCCAAAGTTGCCAATTCTACACGATCTTGGTAGGAGAGTTGAGGTGTGTGAAATAAATGTATTCCACTATTGTACACGGCACATAAGTGTTTAAAAAATTTACCTCCAGCTCCATGAGGACAGTTGCATTGCTCTATATCTGTATAAACTGTGTACAAATAGTTTGGATCTATTGAAGACGTAACGTGATATTCCGATTCAGAAATCTGGGTAACTTTTAAATCTGCCGCTTTGTGAAAAAACTTTTTGAAATGAATTTGCAGCTTCATGTCTCTAAAGTTGGAATAATTTATTAATTTTTGTTTGTAAAACTGCTCTAGAGAAGTAGTAACAAAGTCCAGTAAGGAAACCGCGTTAAACGCCTTGCATCTCTTGAGAACAAGATCCTTAAATATTCGGATTGATGACTCAACTATATTGTTCGTGTTATGGCCTCTTGTCTGCAAATGTATGCGAAATAAGTGACACCACTCAGATTTTCTTTTCCATAACTCGTTAAAATAGGTTGTAAAATTTGGATATTTTTGTGCTACTGAGTCATTACATAATTCCTCTTTGAATAAATTGCAGTCCACTTCACTCGGAGCATATAGAACATTACGAAAAAGCAGCATGAGCGGTTTACGATCTTCGTTCTTAATTCCATGTCTGTGGTCCCAAAGCCAACGCCAAACAGCTTGTAGAACATGGAAACTGCACAATAGCCGATCTGATTGAGGAAATACTGTTTTTCTACGACTGCTATGAAAAGTAGCGTAATTCTCATGGCTTACTCAATTTCAAAACCACGAATTGCTCATACCTGTGAGAAATATTATTTCTCACAGAACTTTGCCAACACCACGCATAGTAGGTACCTTTTATATGGAGAATCAACTAAAATCGACAAAAACTTAGTTGGCCGCTGTTGTCACGAACAACTGTCAACAGAATTTATTTCAATTTTTGAGGTAGTTATCAATCGTGTTTCGATAAAAAATCGCAATTTCATTGAATATTAGTAAGACATAATATACATATTTGTACCAGTGATAGGTAAATAATATGGAAACTTATGAAAGCAGTGACGATTTTGACAATACTCCACCAGAAATATTGGAACAAGCGGCAAAAGTAACATTAGATTTGTTGCCGGAAATTTCCCGAAAGAAGTATGAATTGGCATATGGGAAATTCATGGAATGGAGAAGAAATACGAAAATAAAATCGTTTTCGGAAAGTGTACTTTTGGTATACTTCGAAGAAATGTCGAAAACTTTGAAGGCGTCAACACTTTGGTCACAATATTCGATGTTGAAAAGTACCATCAGTATTAAACATAACATTGATATATCCACGTATCAAAAATTACGTGCATTTTTGAAAAGAAAGTCTGACAATTACTTCCCAAAGAAATCAAACATATTAACAGCCGACCAATTGCAGAGATTTTTAAAAGAAGCTCCAAACAAGGAATATCTACTAATAAAGGTGGGTTTATTATTTAAATTGAACTATTTTTCGAATTTCTTCCGCTTTTTTCCTCGAATTAATAGCTTTTTATAGTTAGTGGGTGTATTCAGTAGGTAAAAATAATTAGATAATCTTCAAAAAGTCAATTTCATATTGTGGAAGATGAGTATATGCCTATGAATAAATATTTTAATAACTACTCCGTGGTGTAGTGGTAGTGCTTCCGCTTAGGATACTAGCGGCCCGGGATGATATATTTTTTTAATTATATAAATGATTTTACATCCTGATATTTTTATTTGTAGGTTGCAGTGGCTATTGGCGTAGCAGGGGCATGTCGTAGAGATGAACTGTGGAAATTAAAAGTCGATGATTTAGAGGATCTAAATTCGGCTTTGTTGGTGAAATTAGATAACACCAAAACAAAGAAGCCAAGAACTTTCACTGTAACGGGGGAATTTTATAATATATATAAAAAATATGCCGCTCTTCGACCGAATGATTTGGCAGAAAAACGTTTCTTCTTGAATTACCAGAACGGAAAATGTACTAGACAAGTAGTCGGCATCAACAAATTTGGTAGTATGGCAAAGAGAATTGCAATTTTTTTAAAATTGGAAAATCCCCATTTATATACAGGACACTGCTTCAGACGTTCTTCGGCAACAATTTTAGTAAATGCAGGAGGTGACATATTAACCTTAAAGCGCCATGGAGGATGGCAATCCAGTACCGTGGCAGAAGGATACGTCGGAGACTCTATTAAAAATAAAATGGACGTTGCAAATAAAATCGTCGACTCTATTGAAAAACCAGTAGAACTATTCACTGAAATGGAGACAGAAAATGCACCACTGTACATAAATAATCAACCTTCAACTTCTACTTCTACAATTAATATAACAGAAAATTTACTCAAAAACAATGACTTTCCTGGTTTGACCATACAAAATTGTAAGAATTTCACAATTAACTATAATTTCAAATGAATAATTCAACTGTTAAGAGGTAGGAAACTTGTTATTATGTTATGTTATTTTAGTTCTGCTATAACCCATAAAAAATAAAAATTGAGTTACATTGTTCTTTGAATATGTGCAGTCGTAGAAAAAGTATAGTGTGCAACATGTGGGGAAAAGTACTTTCCTCACTCGTGTGTTTGCGGCACTCGCCTTTCAGGCTCGTGCCACAAACTTCCACACTCGTGAGAAAAGTTGAACTTTTCCCACTTGTTGCACAATATACTATTTCAGAGCATTTCGCTCCGCTGTGCTGTCATCTGTCATGAAGACAGCTGGGAATCCTTTACCTAAAAAAGCCTCTTCTTCTAGAACCGTCTTCAAATATTGGAAAATCAGTTCGTAATTTTCTTGGGTTTGATTTGAATGAATTGCACAGCCAAGTGGAACGCCACCAGTTTTGCTGGATGCAAAAAAAAAGTTACTGAATTTCCTCCTTGATCACAAGACGCACTCGAGTCTAAAAAAACTATCTCCCTGGAGAAATGCAGCTTATGAGCCCTAAGCATCAGCGGTGTTATAACAACGGAGCAAAATGGATTTTCGCATAAAAGTATTCGTGTGCCTTCCTTATCAAGTAACAATTGCCTATCTTTTATTTTTTGAAATATGCTAGTGTTGGTCCTGTCCCCATAGTTTTGTTTTCTGCAACAAATTATTGAGAATATTCAGTGTGTCCCATGGAAGAAATTTTAACAGCGTATTCTACGTTCTTTATACATTGGTTTTTATTTTTTACGCGAAAACTGTGCATCGTCCGAAAGAAAGTCAAGAAATTTGACAAAAATCAATTAAACTTGAAAAGAATTTTGTCAATAATTGTACCCCCCTTTAGCATCTACACGGAAAAAATGTTTTGTTGCACCAACAAAATAATTTTGGTCATTTTTATTTTGTTAAATCAAATACATTCCAAATAAGCGACTTATTTGAAAGACAAAATAATTTGATTGAAATATTTGCATACTAGAACAAAAGTTTCATTTCATTCAACAACATTTATAGTTGACATAAAACAAATCATTGTTCAATCAATCATATGCATTTTGTTCATTTGACAAAATTAAATTGATTTCGACAAAGATTTAACTAAATACAACATCATATTTTATTGATTCAACAATCATTTCATTGTACAAGCAATCACAGGTTTTTTTCTATGCGACAAAATTGAATTGATTATGACATTATATTTTGTTGATTCAACACATCATTATCAAGAAATATGTTGCTTAACATTCCTGGGCGACTGTGAAGATTGCTAGTCGAGGCGCAAGCCGAGACTTAGCAACACAGAGTCCAGGAATGTGGCTTTTCCTACGAGGTAAACATACTATTTTTCCGCAAATCGCTTAAAATTCGACAGGTATTGATTGATTTTAAAAAAACGCGATAATTCTATTCCCAAATAAATGGTGCTTTGAAATTCCTGATAAAATTACTTGGGTCACTATGGAAACGTATTGAGGTTGAATTGTCAAACTTGACGCTTATAAATTTAATTGCTGGTGTTTTCGAAAGTAAAATGATAAGTGATGATGAAATTTCCATTCCTGGGACTCCTCCAGAGCTGGTTGAGGCAGTGAATGTTTTCAAAATATAAATTAATTCCTTATAAGCAATGTGTTTTCAATCATTTATGTAGAACACTAACAACTTTACGGAAATATCATTTCCTTACAGTAAGGAAATGACATTTCCTTACAGTAAGGAAGTCCTGACTTTTTCGTCAAGAAATTTTGACAGGAATGTCAAAATTTCCTACCGATTTGCGGAAAATGTTTCTTTCTGTGTCTTGCCTAAGTGGGTTAAGATTAAAATCTTTATACATACAAGTGAAGTTAAATACAAGCATGTTACTAAATTAAATGTAACCTACCTCCATTCTGTGTACAAATGATAGATTGTACGATCCAACGCATTATTCTGAGCATTAGCAAGAACTTGGCATATACCTTCTGATGGAGTGATAGCCATCAAGGTAGACTTATGAAACTCTTTTGCTTCACTAGGTGAAAGTCCTTCGTCAAAATATTTTATAAATTTTTCTCTTGTATCCTTACTGATTCGCAAAAAGCTTTACGCTTCTGCAACGACAACTCTGTGGGTATGTACGTAATTCATCTGAAAAGAAACATCAATATGTCCCTACCGATATCAGATATTTATCGATTTTACGAATTAAGTCCTACAAAAAAAAACACAGAAACGCGAGGTCAAGTAGTAACGGAGATACCCCACAAATACTTCTAAATAAATGTTACACCCTGTACTTACCTCGATTATTGCATTCAGGCCACTTTTCAAATGTCGGTCTTTGTATCTTGTATCTTTGTTTTCTTTCTTTATTTTGATAACAATTTTTGCACTGCATGACTTATTCCTGTCTCTGTTAGTTTCTATACTCCTTTGTTTATTTTTTTGATGGTGTTGGCAAACCCAGTCTTTCCGAAAATCCAATTTTGCAATTTTTGGATATGTATATTTAACAGTCCAATTCGTAGAAGTGGCCGCTGAAAAGTTCTCGATCCATTTTTTGCAGTTTTCTTCGAAAGCATGTTCAATTCGGGTTCTCAAAATAACTTTTATAGTATCGCTTTCAATGAGGGTAACCCGCTCATCAAAACTTTTTGCAGCGTTTACAACGAACACTTCATCAAAATCATCTGACATTGTAGTTACAATGTGGTTGATCTTACTCCTAACGTGATGAAATTAGTATAGGTACTATGAAATTAGACTGTTTACTTCGCAAACCTCGCGACACGCACTGCAATACACGTGTTCGTTAATAAATAAATACATTTCGCCCTCGCGCGGGCATTTCGAAACCTTTTTTGTCATGGCCGAGGAGGGATCGGAGTGAATTTTGCTGCACTGCAATTCCTAACTGGTTGCGACGAGCAATCGGTGTCACATAGGAGGGATTGTAAATGTGCGTACCGTTCGAACTGAAAGAGGGAGTGATTTGGGGGCAGAAAGTGCAATTTTTTTTTGGTCGCACGAAAGGCAATATCCCTATTTTTTAAAACTTGGAAGTTCTTGAGAATTCTTCCCTAGGCAAAGAACATAGACAACCAAGTTTTGGTAGAGTTGTTTGACAAATATCGAGGTAGACTACGAATAGGTGTGCTGTACTAAGCTTATTCTCGAGTTCGTCTGTCTGGTATTGCTAGTGATAGAATGATAACCGAACTTTCGAAAAACATATTTCGTAACAGTTTTTATAAACAAGTGAGAGGTCGCTGTTGTTCAAATGATGTCGAGGTGTAAGTGAGTGTGGCATCACCAACTAGGTGAATTATTTTGATGCTTACATATCTACTATATAAATTCCTTTATTAACAAATATACAACATTCAACAAATCAGCAACTTCCCCAACATATTTTTATTTTCATTGAATCAGGTGACCTTGGACCATAGCCGTCACCAGATGAAGAAAGGATATAGGACGGACAAAACTCGAAGATAAAATTGGATAACCTAAGTACGATTGAAAACTGAGTGTGAATACTCAAAGCTGATATTAATCTGTGTAATTCTCGAAATGTCATCTCCAACCATTCAGAACTTAATGATTCATTCACAATGATATTTACCATTACCAATTGTCAAAACTGAAACCACTAGTTCCTAAACAATACTTGATCATCGCATTTTCGAGTTTGTCCGAAAAAGTAGTGTACTTAACAAGTGCGAAAACTGATACTTTTCGCACCTGTTGTGTAAACTATTTTTTAAATAGCGTGCAGAAATAACCCACGAAAATTATAGGAATTTCCTTTCGTGCGCTACAAGAGATAAAATGAAATAAATGATAATATTAATTGAAAAGGAATATTGTCAGATATGTTATGAACATGAAAAAATGGATATAGGTATTTATGAAGGAAAACATTGAGGATTCGCATTCTGTATGTGATGAAAATATCAATTGTTTCTCGGTATTCGACAGAAAACAACTATTTTGCTTGCTGTATGCCACCACGAACACTAAATTATATCTATTGAACACACTCGATAATGATTTGAATATAAACTCTTCTGAAGTTGGGAATTTGCATTATCATCCAAATGAAAATATATATGCACATAATATCATTCTGAATATTCAACAGAAAACAACTACTTCTCTTGCTATTTGTCACGTCGAATATTGATTTATATATGTTCAACTTTCAGAAGGAGAACAAGAAAATGAAAATTCTCTTAAATTGAGAATTGACATTCCCTTTCAATATTTCTCTTTCTTCCACATTTCAGTTTTTCTGTTGATGTTCTCGTCTGACATAAATACTGGAGGTTTGGTTGCTTGAACAATTTTCTATCATCAATAATAACAAAGCTATCAATGGCTGCTGACACTCAACTTAGATTACCCTGAAGAGTATCCCTTGGACATGTGGGATTTACAAGAACGTTCATTCAATAGTTTTCATAGTGGGTTTCACAGAAACGTTTATTCAATGGCTTCCATATATATATAGGCATTTTTTCATCAACCCCTATCTACAGCACCGCACTAATTATCGTTAATAAAGAATTCGTAGCTGGACTTTGATTTCAATCTCATTTCGTATCACCTTCTTTTGCCTCCCGGGAATATGGGTACAAAATACAAAATAAATTAATTTGGGCATGATATGGATTTATATAAAAACATCTATTTCTCGAATCCTGCTCCCAACGTACTTCTAGGAATAGTAGTTTATAAGAAAACATTTCAAATAGTCACATTCTTTTTTATATAGCGAGAAACTTGCCAAACATTCATATATTTTATATTGAAATGTGCTCATTCATTACTTCATATTATATGAACTATCTTATTCTCGAGTGAACCATAGCTATAGGAACATAAAAGCAGATCGAACTGGAAGTATACGTAGAATCCCCACATGACGTGAGAGCAGGCAGCATTGTGGCCGGCGTTCGCTCTGTGAGTAGCTGGTAGGCCCCTCTGCAGTCATTTCACGGTTCTGATGCATTACATTCTGATGATTTCAGATTCTGCCAATGTACGGTTATGATATTTTACGGTTCTGCTGACTTACAGCTCCTCCTGTTTTGAAAGCGTTTATCAGTCTGGGTCAAAATTAGGCAATTTATTAGGCAATCCGAAAGATAAAGTGGACACACTTGAAAAGTCGGGAATATACGAAATAAGTTGTAATGATTGTGATAAAACATATATAGGCCAAACCAGGCGACCCATAAAAACAAGGTTCAAAGAACACATAGCCCATTTAAAATATGGCAGGTTAGATAAATCTTGTGTAGCCGAACATATGTTCAATCACAATCATAACACACATATTACTAACCTCAAATTAGTTAAGCAAGTTAATAACATTAGAAAACTAGACGCATATGAAAGCTTAGAGATATTTAAGAATAGTAATAGAGTAATGAATAAGGATAATGGACCTATTCCATATAGCCCTCCATATAGTTTAGTAAAATAAAAATTTGAGATTAACATGTGAACTCAACCATGACAAACATTAACTTGACGGTTAGTTTTTTTCACAGTTGGGTGAACATATACCTAGTATATAAGCAGCACACTAGAATAGGATATTTAGTTTTAATCTTCTCCTGAAGATGCTAACATAGTTAGCGAAACACGTGTCGAGGCGTTAAAAAATCGGTTTGGTTAGTGGTAAAACAGTGTAGTGTATTATCGTGCCAAAGGTTCCAGTCTTCGATATATCAAGATGGCTTCACGGTCAACGGAACAGAACTTGTATTTCAAGGTCAGTACTAAAATTAGTTTAGTTAGTGCAGATATCTGGTTCTTAAAATCTTGCCGAAAACATTCAGTCTTTCCGAACTTCATGAAAATTACTCTGCCACATTCTTCAAATGTTGCCAAGAAAGTTGAAATTCTTGCAAAACAGAAATGGTTGGATTTAGAAATCAAATATCTCTATGGAAAACGCAGTATGCTTGAACTTGAAGCATACGAAATTTATAAAAAACTAACATATAGACTAAGTAACATTGAGTTTGAACAATGGTGTGAATTCCAGAGAAAAATGTTCGCCGTAATTGAAGTCAAATATATTCAGAAATTTTCCTCTCTGAACAAAAAACTGAAGAAACTTGGGATAAATAAATCAAAACCAATATATGAGGAGCCCATCACCATTGTTGAAAACCAATCCTCTCAATCCTTTAGTAATGAAGAACTCAACCTTCTGAATAAAGGCCTGAATTTTGTCCCTTCTGCCTCAAAGGACAGTCTCGATGAAGTAATAGTGAGTGTTGAATCCGCGATTCAATATCTCCCTAATTCTTCAAAAGGATTTGCCAGAGAAGCACTTAGGAAACAAATTTCCAAAAATGTTATCAATCATAAACATAACCCCCAACGAAAAACTCAAAATATTATCAAAGGATTGAAAGAAAAAGAATGCTTTTACTTAAAAGCCGATAAAGGTAATAAGGTTGTTATTTTGGATAAACAGGATTATTTTCAAAGGGTTGACAATCTCATTGAAGATGGTCCTTATAGGAAACTAACGAGAAATCCATTACCTAAAATGGTCAGTCAAGTCAAATCAATTTTGAATAAATGCCCAAACCTTATTACTGCACATAATAAATATAAATTACAAATATCTAACCCAAGTGTACCAAGACTATATTGTTTACCAAAAATACACAAACCCGGTAAGAAAATGAGGCCAATTGTATCCGCAATTGGGTCTCCTACTTACAATATTTCAAAGTGGTTGGTTGAAGTTTTCAAAACTTTGAATAATCCTTATAACAATCATTCTGTTTCAAACTCGCTTGAATTTATCGAAAAGGTCAAAGGGTTGAATCTGACCGAAGGTGAAATCCTTATATCATTTGATGTTTCATCACTTTTCCCAAGTGTACCCCTACCAACAACTTTGGAATATTTAAAGGAATTACTCGAATATAACAATCTAGATCCAGATAATATTAAAGAATTGGTTGATCTCACTAATCTCTGCATGAGCCAAAATATTTTTCAATATAAACAAGAATTTTTTGAACAACATGAAGGTACAGCTATGGGAAATTGTTTATCGCCTTTCCTGGCTGAACTGTTCATGAATCGATTTGAAGCGAATGCAGAAGAAAAATTCGAGTATTTCCCTAGGGTTTGGATTAGATATGTTGATGATATTTTTGCTATTTTTGATACAAAAACCACTAATATAGATAACTTTATTTCAAAATTGAATAACTGCTTCCCCTCTATCAAATTCACTTATGAATGCGAAAATCAAGGCAAATTACCTTTCTTAGATGTACTTGTGATCAAAAATAGCGAAAACAACTTAGAATTTGATGTCTTTAGAAAAGAAACTAACACATTTAGATACATACCTAATGACTCCAATCACTGTTTTCAGCACAAAATGGCAAGTTTAAATTTTCTAGTACACAGATTGATTTCATTCCCTCTCAGCAAAGAAAGATTCAATGCTGAAAGAAATGTTGTTTATAAAGTGGCTGGCGTCAATGGGTATGATATCAAAATAGTAGATAAATTAATACGTAGACATAAATTTAAGTTAACACTTCGATATTCTACGACTTTTCAAGCGGATAAAAAGAACTCTAGAAGAATCCCAATCCCGTACAATCCCAAGTATACGAAGGGACTTGATAAGGTTTTCAAAGACTTAGGTTTTGAAAGCGTTTATCAGTCTGGGTCAAAATTAGGCAATTTATTAGGCAATCCGAAAGATAAAGTGGACACACTTGAAAAGTCGGGAATATACGAAATAAGTTGTAATGATTGTATAAAACATATATAGGCCAAACCAGGCGACCCATAAAAACAAGGTTCAAAGAACACATAGCCCATTTAAAATATGGCAGGTTAGATAAATCTTGTGTAGCCGAACATATGTTCAATCACAATCATAACACACATATTACTAACCTCAAATTAGTTAAGCAAGTTAATAACATTAGAAAACTAGACGCATATGAAAGTTTAGAGATATTTAAGAATAGTAGGTAATAGAGTAATGAATAAGGATAATGAACCTATTCCATATAGCCCTCTATATAGTTTAGTAAAATAAAAATTTGAGATTAACATGTGAACTCAACCATGACAAACATTAACTTGACGGTTAGTATTTTTCACAGATGGGTGAACATATACCTAGTATATAAGCAGCACACTAGAATAGGATATTTAGTTTTAATCTTCTCCTGAAGATGCTAACATAGTTAGCGAAACACGTGTCGAGGCGTTAAAAAATCGGTTTGGTTAGTGGTAAAACAGTGTAGTGTATTATCGTGCCAAAGGTTCCAGTCTTCGATATAATAAATTCGTTGTTCACTAATCGTCGTTGAGATGTGACAATTTCAAAATTGTTCAGGAGAGATAAAAAACTTTTTATTTGAACTAATAGTATTCTAAATGATTGTGATTTTTTGTGTTCACTCAAATATGTCATTAGGTTACTTTAAGACAGTTTTAATATCGAATTTGTGTTTTGACTTATTATTAAATATATATTTTTGGAGGTATTGCACATTCTGTAGAAAATCACATGAGAGATATTACATTGGAGTTTCACTTGGGAGGTATCACCACTAGCTCTATTGTCGCACATAGAAGTTGTTTCTATAGCCATCACATTGATAAAATCAGAAATCGTTTTGTTCAGATTGGAATTAGAAAAGTAGACCAGATCAAAGTAAACTTATATTTGTGTATAATTATCACTCTGAAAAATGACAATATGAACATGAAATATGTGTAATGAAAAAAAAATCATAATCCTCATCGATGATGATTTGGTCTACATTTAGGATGATAACATCCTCATTTCTTTTTCTTCTGTTGATGCGGTAGCACATCATAAAAAGCATGGTGGTCCATTTCCATTACGGATTTCAGTTCCTGCAGATGTTTATATTTGTCGTCTGATATGGGTAGTTGAGTTTTGTGAAGCTGTTCCTTATAAATTTCCATTTTTTGGTTTTCACGCCGTCGTGGCATCACAGTCCATTCTTCAGAATAATCTAGTGTGAAGTAAACTTCCCCATTAGGTAAGTATTTCAGTTGTCTGATATCGACAACTACAGGATCTCTAACTCTCTTTCCTGGTCTAATCGAGTCAAAGTTGGATGGTAACTCATATTTCTTGAAAAAGGTGTAATCTAAATTTTTTATTTCATATGGATTTGTTGAACGCGCGAGTCTCATCCGCGCTAAGTAATCTGAAGGTGAAAAAATTGGTGGCGTGAAGTAATGTTCAAGGGTTGAGTGCACCGTATCCGCTGACATCATTGTGTGTCCTTTTTTCAGAAATAATTGTTGGATAGTAATATTTTTTTCTCTTGCCAAGTCGCTTAGTGCGCTGGACAGAGTTTTGTTACAATTTTGATAATTGCATCCATCTGAGATCATAGTTACAGATTTGTAATTGTTCTGGATGTTGGAAAGGTAATCAATCAAACATGAGGTGAATTCGTTACAAGTTACACCTCCATTGGCCTCATGCCAAACATATAGATTGACATGAGCGTCATTATGGGCATATATAGTGAAATTATGGACTTGAAGCTTTAATTTATAGTAACTCTGTGATGCAAGTAGTCTAGGGCATGTTAATACACTTTGAAGATCCATGCTGAAAACTAGCAGTTCGTCGTTTGCGGAATTTATGAATTTGTCTTTAGCTACCTTTGCAGCGTCTTTTTTCTGTTGATGAGCAATGTAATTTTCTTCACTCACAGTTCCGCATTTGTGTCCCACACAAGTATCGCATTGATCTTTTCGTGGCTTATGGATGGCGATTCTCTCAGCAGTAAGAACAGTTTTGAAAAGTTTCGAATGGGCTGCTTTCTTTTGTTCATCAATGCACCAGCTTTTGAATATTTTGTACATGTTATTTTTAGAAATAAATTCATTGTCCACATATCTCATATAAGATGATGCTCTGCAATAATGTGATGATACTTTCGGTATGCTGGAGAGCCATGTCACCACGGTTTCAGTAACCTGTTTTCGCTCGATAGATCTGCGAGTTTCTTGAGATTTAACTCCCTTGGTCTCAACTATTGACAACGATTGGGAAGAGGTATCAGAATTTGAAGTGGACGAGTTATGTCCAGTACTGGAATCAGTTTCTTTCATCCATCGTTTCAAACTGTCTTCGCCTAGTCCAAGCGTGTTTATAAATAGTAAACGACACACTTTTATGCGGTTTCCATTTATGGTTTTCAAAAAATAATCATGCCCTTGAGACTTTTTGAAATTTTCTTCTGCTTCTGAAATTATCTTTCGTCTCCTTCTGACAGGTCGCGTGTTAACCAAACCTCTAACAAAAACTTTCTTCTCGCCCCATGATCCTAGTTTCCAGAAAGATGAAAACATATTTTTTCTATCTTCTTGGGAAATCGAGGAACACAAGAAACTGTTTTTCAATTCTTTCTTGGGTTGTCGATGAGAACATCTCTCTTTAATTTTTTTTGCGGCTCTCAAAGTTTCATGTGTCACAATCTTCTCCCTACTTCTCTCGTAACCCGTATATTGTTTGCCCCGTAGTCTATTTTTCTTAGTCAGATTTCGTCTTTCAGTTATGCTCAGCTTTTTTGGTCTCGTTTCTGGTATATTATTGTCTACTTCTTCTGACCCTTCTGCTATGAGGTCATTTGCGTTTTCTTCCATGGGTGTTTCTTTGTCTAGTTCCTCTGATGCTTCTGCTATGGTTTCATCTATGTTATCTTCTATTGATCTCTCTTCGTCTATTTCTTCTGACGCTTCTGTTATGATTTCATCTACGTTATCTTCTATTGTTCTTTTTTTGTATACTTCTGATGAAGCTTCTGCTATGAGGTCATCTGCGTTATCTTCTATGGGTGTTTATTTGTCTAGTTCCTCTTATGCTTCTGCTATGGTTTCGTCTATGTTATCATCAATTGATATTTCTTTATATATCTCTTCTGAAGCTTCTGCTATGATTTCATTATTAGCATTATCTACGTGTTGGGGCGAAAGTACAATGATTTCATTATTTGAATATTCTTCAATACCAATTCCTTCCATTGTTGTTTCATCTACGTTGATTTCCATTTCATGTTGAAATGCATCTAAATTTTCATTGTTTGCACCGATTTCAATAATTTTATCAGTAGTTGAACAACTTGGATGATTTTCGAAACCTAAAACAGAGTTAAAGTTTCTGCTAAACGCAAAATCGAAAGTTTCAATTTTACCGTAAATCATTTCTATCGGAATATTATCTCGTTGTGTGATATCTTCCAATACAAGAAAATTGAAATTATTTATATCTTCATAGCATTTTACGAACTCATCTGCCATATTATTATTCGTAAATTCGAAACCATTCTCAGTCTGGACTCCAACAATTTTAACATTACCTGAAAAAGTTCGACATCATTCATCACTTACATAACTACATTGTGGAAATATAGTAGAAATGATTGTGGATATTTGTTCAACAATACGTAAACAACGAATGCAACCGACTCAATAGTCCATTTTTGTTCAAAAACTAGCTCTTCAGGTAGACGTTTTTCTCATTTCAACTCCTAAGAACTAAAGACTAACTGATAGGATAGCTGCTGACGACACCATGCGTGATGACTTCACTTCAATGATTTATTAGTTAGATATTGTCACACCTGTGAATAGTGTTCGGTCTAGGGCGTAGCTTTAGGGGTAGTTTCATGCATTCATGACTTGGAAATAACGAGGCAATTACGTAGAAATGTAAAACAGTTTATTTGAATCAAATGAAGAAAAGTGGAAAACACTAGAATGAATACAAAACCTGAACAACATATGAAATAAATCCTATCTGACACAAGGGTTACTCACCAGGGTAGAAATGTGTCAAACCACGACCTCATCGTTGGGCTCGGCAAGTACGACTGTCCCTCTGATTGATTTCCCTACTCCTCAGGTTGAATATAATTATTGATGATCAATGCAGTATCAGCAAGCAAGTACAATGCCCGCAGGGAATGAACTCGCCTAGCTAAGACTGCATATCGGAAATGGAAGCGAAATATGAATTTAACAAATAATATCTATACTGTTGAATGAAATGATTTTAGTAATTGATTTTATATTTGGTTCGTGAAATCAATCAGATTATGGGATTTTTCCTCAAGCTTGACACTTTTCCCCCCCTCGGAAAACTGGCCCTCCAGTTTATGAAACACAACAAGATCATTTGAAAGGACATGTTGACTATTAACAAAACATTACTATCGAAAAAATAATACATACCTACATAAATGAAACATATGAAAAAACCTAATATGATAAAGTCGAAAGAAAAAAAATGGACAGAATTCATTGAATATAACATTACATTGTTTCTCGAGAGACCATATCCTCTGTTCATTACTCCGAGGTCGGATCCGGACCTGTGGCTATGCTACGTCTGGTCTGATTCTGACTTGGTTCTAGATGGTTATGGTTGGCAGTGTAGGCAGGTCAGCCGGGATTATCATGGTTCATCGTTTGATTCACTCCACATCTCTGGTAGGTAGTTTCATTGGTTGGAACGAAATGTATCACATCTCATTCTTGTCCTCAGCGATGAACCTCTCACTTGGACAACTCGTTGCAGTTTTTCTCAGCTCCGAGGGTATTATCTGGTCTCTTCGGGTTTTCCTCAATTCGCGCCGTTAAATAGGTACTCAATTCCCCACAGACGAACCGTGAATTTCTGTCATCCAGAATCCTTGCATAAGT